CGTATTGCTTCACCAATGAAACGATCTTTAACATAACCAGTCTGGTTGTAGTGAATGATACTGGGTAACACCTTTTTAACCCTTGCTGCGATCACCTTGGACATAATTTTCCTATCTACATTAACAAGAGATATTGGCCGCCAGTTTTCGAGGAGAGTGCGATCTTTACCGCTTTTCTCAAGCAGAGTAATTACAGCCTGTTTTTGTGAGCATGACATTTCCCCTTTTTCGAAGCATTCATTTGCACACCTGATAAAACTTTCGCTTATTAAAGGCCAAAATTTTCTATAGAATTCAGCTGGAATGCCATCATTTCCAGGGGATTTATTACTCTGAAAGCTATCCAAGAGTTCAGAACATTCTTTTGGAGAAATTAATCCTTCACAGGAATTTTTTTCCTCCTCTGAAAGTTGGGGAATATTCACATCGTTCAAAAATGAAGATATTTTCTCCCCTGTATTGGGACTCTTAATGCTGCTTTTGTACAATTCTCTGTAAAAACGCTCTTGTTCTTTTAGTATACAGTGCGGATCCGTTGTAATTTTACCATTTATGCACAGTTTTCTTATATGCCTCTTAACGTGGTTCCTTTTTTCTAAGTTTAAAAAATATTTTGTGCTTTTCTCTCCATGTTCATGCCATCTAGCACGTGCTCGTATTATTACGCCTTTGGTTTTTTCTTCGTAAAATGACTCCAACTTCTCCTGAACTACGTTATAATAGGTTTTGTTATGGTCGTTTGGATTATTTTCAAGTTTACTTTTTGCTTTAGTTAATTCCCCCTGAAGTTCAAGTTCCTTTTTCCCCCTTTCTTTTGCCTTTCTTTTAGAGTATTGAATAGCATGAGCTCTTATGTTATATTTAATCCAATCCCATATCATTCGATTATCTGTAAATTCTTTCTGTCCTTCCGCTACCCAAAGTGGAATCATCCTGGCTATATCTTCTTGGTAATCTTCATCATCTAACAGAGAGCAGTTCATTTTCCAGTTTCCTGGCCCTTTCAATTCGTCCTCTAGCTTTCCGAGTTCTAAAGAAAGTGCATCATGATCTGTTCGTACAGCCGGGATTATTTCGGTCAATTCAACAAAATCGCTCAGGTTGTTAGATATCAACCAGTAATCGAGACGACAAAACACTGGGGGAGATTTTTGACTCCACGTAAAACTTTTTGCCTCTGGATTTTTGGATCTCCAGATATCCACTAAATCTAATTTACTTTTGAAATCTTCGACACAAGAGATAACTGACTTCCTTTTTGTACTTGCTCCGCCTTTTTTGTCGAGTAATGGATCGAGTGGACAATTTAGATCTCCTCCTAGTATGATGTTATCCAAAGAATCCAGATTTTCATTTTGCAAAATTGAAAGTAGGTTGTTGAAAAAATTCACTTGGTCTTTACCTTTGTTCGGCGCATAAACATTAATCAGCTCATAGTCTTTATCTTGGATGCAAGCTTTTAAAATAATATAACGCCCCTCGGGGTCTACAATTTTATGAGTAATGCTGCAATCAATACCATTTTTAAACAAAATCGCAACACCTCGCGAATTAGAACTACCGTGGGAAGATATCATCTCAGCACCCCATTCATTTCTCCATTGATTCTCTGTTGCAGCGATCGAGTGCGTCTCTTGTAAAAAAACAAGGTCTGCTTTACGTTTACGACACCAGAGAAAGATGGTTCTTCTTTTGCGGAAATTACTTAAGCCCTTCACGTTAAGCGATATTAGTTTAAAAGCACTGAACAACTAATGTCACTGTATGTAAATTGTGGGACTGCATAGCTGAAAACGAAAGAGCCAGACGTGTAATTGACCAAACGAAGGCGTGAATGTAGACATACTTTGAAAGCAAGTAAAGGATACTGATTGTGCATAGATAAAATTAGTAAAGAAACACAGTAAGCGAAAATTAGAATAGAGAAACACTCGAAAAAATCTCAAATACAACACTAACAGATAAGAAAAAGAAAATAATACAGGGACACACGTTAACCACCAAAACACTAGCCGAAACATACTCCCTTGAGATACTCAAATGAAGTATTTTAAGAAGGTACTGACCTTTCGACAATTTTAAATATTGTGTTTTCCAGAATCTAATTAGCTTCAATCTGACTTAAAGAAGTTGTTGTTGTATTGCACCAGTAGTACTGTAAATTAGTTGAACAGATCTATGTTCGTTCTTTGATCTACTTAAAATCCTCAGGGATATTTGTTACATCATACTTTAGTTCTCCTATGTACAGATATCTACCAACCACTTTGGCCTCTGAACCTTGCTCCTTTGCCTTGAACATCGCCTTTATTAGCTTCCTTCGTTCATCTTGTATAGCTTTTGCATAATCCGCGGTTATGTAAGCGTCCTTGAACCTTGTGCTCTCTTTAATTCCCTTCTTCCTGGCAAAAACTTGGTCTCTGTCTTCTCGGCAAACGAAGCGAGCAATGATCGGTCTGTGTTTGTTTTCTTTTCGCTTGCCAATTCGATGCACTGCGTGATTCTTCGTGCAGCTTCGCAAAGTTGCTTTCCATATTCGCCGTTAAGTTTTGAATTAAGTCCCTGAGTGAATTTGTTTCCTCTTCTTCTTCGTGCATCCTTGCTTTTTTTAATTCGGTGTTGGATGAAACAGAACTAGAGCTGGAGCCTCTTTCTCCCCTTTTGGATTTAGTCATAATTCTGATTCAAAATAACCGAGGTTTTCCCTTCTTGAGGTTGCTCTTCACACCGCGTGGCCTTCCGCCATGACGCTCGGCCCAGTTTGTGCCAAGTTTTGATTTTGGATCACATGATATCACATGTTGTACACTGTCAATCAAAATACGCGTCACAAAATAAACGGATAGCGTTACAAAAAATTTCTCATGTAGCAGTATAAACAAATAATAGCATGATTTGTACGTGATATTTGGCATAAATACCACTCGTGATATTTCAAAATTGTCTCAAATTTCACTCGCCTAACGGTTCGTGAAATTACGTATAACAATTTTGAAATATCACTCGTGGTATTTATGCCAAATATCATTGCAAATCATGCTATTACCTATACTAATTGTAATACCCTAAATGTAATTAACTTTAACCCTAAATCTAATAGCGTAGCGTGGGTGGAGCCCCATAGCTAAGGAAATGGGGTAATCTACCCACCCAAGAACATTTGGTAATCACGTGACCGTACACCGACCGTCCGTCCGCACCACAGCTATACCAATGTAAAATAACTCAATCAACAGGTACGGCAACCCAAATGCAACTCAAGGTTTTATTTGGAAGGAAATCACATGATGGCCCGGTCTTTTCGAAAGAAAAAACAACAGCAAAGTCGTGTCTTTTTCGGCGTCATTTTTTATGTTTACACAAACGTGGATAACTGATAACAGAGAAAGAGCTAGAGCGAGTTATTGAAAATAAAGGAGATGAATTTCATAGAAGAAAAACATGGAAATTCAAAGCGGCGGTGAGAAAATGAGAAATGCTAGCGGCCAGCAGGTGAGAATGAGCGGTAGTGAAAAATAAAAGCGAACATGGACACAGGAAACAAAATATTGGGTAAGCACACACGACAATTCCTCCATAAAAATAATGTGTGACTAGACAGTTTGACGTTTCAGTCGTACAAAACAGAGTTGTAGTCGTGCAAAACAACTGCAAAGGAAAGACAAAAAAGCGAGCTGCACGTGCAAATTTGTTTTTTGCTAATTAGAAGAAAAAGTGTGCTGCACGTGCAATTTGTTTTTTTGCTAATTAGATATGTTAGTCTTGAAGCCATTTTCATTGTCACTGTTTAGCATTACACGATTTAATTTTTTTTGTTTATAAGTATTATTAACCAAAGCTTCGCTTTTAGCCCTGGCTCAATCGATATATATATATAATTCCCCTACCGTAACTTTAATAAGCCTTAACGATAAATGTAAGAACTTGCCCTACCGTGAATCCTTTAATAAACTTCAGCAGTAAATTAATAACACAGTAACTCGCCGATTAATTCGAAACTTCAACATTTTCGCCTCCGGGCGACCCCCGGGCATTGAACTATTTGAGACAGGGCTGTTCGAATTTCCGTCCCATTACTGACGCTAATGTAGTGGTCAAATACAAGTACCATAACGACGGATTTGACTGTCAAATGCCTTTCCAAAAGAAAATGAATCGTCAATTTAAAAAATGAACGATACATCTGTCCTGGTGTATGGCTTTTAGTGAATGTTCCGGACACCTGAAAATGAGTCGGGGTTTTTTCCCCTCATGATAGTCAAAATACTGTGTGCAATATACTTTGTAAGGCAGTGGTCATGTTAACACGTTCCTTGACCGTTTATAACATTTCGCCCCTTTTAACTAAAAGTGTTTCTGGGGCTTAAAGTTACCGAACTTTAATATTCAAATTCAGACTACAAAGTTATTCTTTCTCTTACAAATGTCAACTTCATAACGCCATTTAAAAGAGTTAAATCGATAAAAACGTTCAAAAATAGGCTTTTGTCTTCGTCAAGTAATCAATGGGACCTCGCACACAGCTAATTTCAAGAACTCCTTTGGACACTATGGTGAAAAAAAATAACATTGGTGTTTGTGGATTTACCTTGTAAATATGTTTTAATAATACAACTGAGGCTTTCCTTTCGTGATTGGTAAATGTTGTAAGTTATTTGGTGGTGATTTATTGCTGAACACGATAAATAAAACTCTTGCTGTTATTGTATTTGCACAAAGCCACGTATTTTCAGGGCACCCATTTGGGTTTCCATCATCATCATCATCACATCATCATCATAATCATCATAATAACAATAAGAACGTAATAAATTCTAAAAACAAACGTTCCGAAAGACAGTTGACAATTAGATAAATCTGAAAAGACACCTATTAATAAAACAGCGTTTAAAACGTCCAGTCCTAATTTGAGGAAGTACATAGGAGTGACCACGATTCCTAAGCAGTCTTTTTTCACTGGGTGGGAGAGGAGATCTGCTAAAGGGCCCTAAGTAGAATTTGTATGTATCTGAGGCCCGCCTAGAAGGCTTAAAATGGGCGTGGCCTCCTTGAGAAAGCCTAAAAGAACTTCAATTTTAGAAACATACTTGTTATGACTGGCAACACCCCATACTGAAATGCTGTAAGTAAAAAGAGGTATAATCAGACTATGGAAGAGGCGGATTGAACGTCATGGCGGAAGGCCACGCGGTGTGAAGAGCAACCTCAAGAAGGGAAAACGTCCGTTATTTTTAACTCGGTTTCCAAAACTTCGAGGAGATCTAAAAGGAAGGAAAGAGTTTCCAGTTCTAGTTCTTTTTCGTTCCATAGGGAATTAAAAAAAGGGTGGATGAACGAAGAAGGAGAGGAAACAAATTCGCTCAGGGATGTAACGAATGATTTTCCAGTGATGGGAGACTTAGTTATGCGCACAGGAATATGGGATCGCCAAAGGGCAATCATTGCAAGTAGATACAAAGAAATGTAAGGCGTGGAGTTGTTTCTCCATTGAAAGCAGTGTCTTTGGACATAAAACCCCGCATTTTGCAATGATTTTATGAGAAACGGAGGTTAATAATATTGGTGCGTTGAAATTGTAAGTTTTTGTGGGATCAATCCGATGAATTCTATCGATAAACATTCCTTTTTCGGAAGGTAGACTGTGAAATTTACTGAATGGTCTCTAAATATATAGTACGAACTTACTAGGTATAAATTAAGGTATAAATGAGCGGGGAATGACACATTTAAGCCTTTCCAGTTGTAGCTACATGTGCTGATATTTTCAATGAGTGTAACTACGCTCGGCTCGGCTCGGCGGCGATCATAATGCTGTGCCGGTTTGTGACAACGATAGAAGGTATGTATTGACGTGCAACTTTAAAAACAAAAAACATCTTCCCTACTCTGTTATATTGATTTCTTCTCGCCAAAAATGCAAGCAAACTGTTTTGTCATGATCCAGAAGACCAATTAGTTCTGATGCCGTTGCCAGTCACTTTGTCGGAGGATATAGAAACTCCGAACGTCGCGCATCGAGGCGCATCAACTTGGTATTTTATTTACAGTCACTGCTTTTGTTATCGGAAATCTTACTCGTTTTGAGGCACCCTCTCGTAAGATTTCGGCCTCATCTACTCATGCATAAATAACATGTACTTTCCATGGAATATTTCGTAGTTACTTTGCTTATACCAATGTAAAAGACGGTTTTTTAATTTTTTTTATGACCACGTACATACCTTCAATTGTTGTCTTGACACAATGGGGGCTCAACCCGCGGAGCGCCGCACAGCACTGACTGCGACCTAGCGTAGTTACGCTCGTTGTAAATATCACCACACGTAATTAAAAATAAAAAGCTTAAATGAGCCAATCCCTCCACCTTCATAGCTAAATTTGTGCTATATATTTGGAGACCTTTTCTTTATGTTTTGATCACTGCGTAAATTCAGTAAACATAAATTTCATACTCAACCCCAGGAATGTTTATCGATAGAATGTATCGCATTAATCACACAGAAACTTAATGAACGCACCAAGATTAGTCACCTCCCCTTCTCACAAAATCGTGACCAAAATGCGTTATTCAACGTCCAAAGACACTGCTTTTGACGGAGAAACTACATTACGCCATACATTTCTTTGTAGCGACTCGCAATGTTTGCCTCCTCCCCGGCGATCCCAGAATCCTGTGCGCATAACATGGGTCGCAGATCAGTGGAAAATCATTCAATATGGAAACCAATTTTGCGAAGCTGCTCAAAGAACTATGTAGCCCGAGGCAAGAAATGAAGGAAGAAATTGTCACGTTAAAGAACAATGCTAACTGAGAGTGAAAAAAAGTGTCGAGGAACTGTGGGCAACCACGAGAGGGACATTGGGGGGGTTCCCAATACCGTAAGAAAAAATGGCAAATACCGAAATACGGCGTCGCAAATCGTCTAAATACCGATACCGCATATTTTAATCACATTTATAATCGGTTCCGAATACTTATGGTTGCTTCCATCCGGCGCGTTTAATTATCTCAGGCATTTATGCACCAGATGTCTATGTTTTTTAAGCTGTGATAGTTCGCAAATTTTTGGCAAATTTTCAGTGAAAAGTAACCTACAGTCGTTCAACCTTTTGGTAGGTCGACCCAACAGCTAATTAACTCCAATAATAAAGAAAAAACTCTTGAAAGCGCGAAAAACAAACCAACCAAAACCCTCACGCACGTCTAGTGCAAGTTTTGATAAGTAATTCTAGTCTAGCACGTCAGTCTCTCAGGGGTCAACTATCCCGACCACGGTCTCACATGCCGCGCCGGTAAGAGGCAAACTTAGGCCTGTTTCAAACGTCGTGCTACTGCCGTGCTATGCTGGCCCGACTGTAGCTCGACTGCAGCACGACATTAGCACGACTTGGTTTCAGACGTCGAGTTTAATTCACACAATGACAGTCGAATGGAACGGCTGTTGCTAAAAACAAAACACAAAAATAAAGAAACGGTTTAGCAAACTTTTAAATATATTG